AAAAAAAAAAAAAAAAAAAAAAAAAAAAAAAAAAAAAAAAAAAAAAAAAAAAAAACCTACATCAAACCACCTTCTCATTCCTAGCACTAACACAAATATTTTTATGTAATAAATAAATTAGACGATTTTTTTTACTATTTATCTTTTAATCATTTTTCTCCATCCTTACTCTTTTTTCATTCCTCGTTCCTCCTTTTTTTTCTTTTTTTATTTTCTCTTCCTTAAAAAGAAATAATATTTTAGACAATCTTTACACTAACAAAATAAAAAGTATATTTATTAATCCTATATCTTATTTCCTAATACTAACATAAATACAAACTTTATTTCTCAAACCCTAATCCTATTATAATTAGGATATTTTCTTTATAAAAATGGTAACTTCGCTTCTAACCCTAAATCCTTTAATCATGATATAAATTACACTATTTTCTAGTTAAATATGCATAATATAACTAGTATTTATTTTGTTACAGAATAATACCTTAAAGTTCTTCAAAATATCAGTATGTCAATAATATTTCTAGAGAGGGAAAAAAAAGTGCGTACCGTTCACCGGAGAGCCGTGGCTGGAAAGAAGGGGTTACCGTAAAATCCAATGGCTGGAAAGGCCATATTCTACTTTCTTGTTTCTAGAAAAGTGAAATAATGATATGAGATTATCAGATTCCATAACTACTGAAAGAAAGAAAGGCAAAAATCCAAAAACAACGTTAACCGTTCAAGCCTCGGGCGCCGTAAGAAGCGTTCAAGATGCCGCCGGAAAATGAAGAATGCGGAACAATGTTGAAGAAGCCCCGTTAGACGAACGGATGAAAGGAAAAAAAATGGGGGGAGGGGGGGAGGGGGGGAGTGGAAGTAATAAAATTATCTGTTCGAAGAAAGGGAATGGATTATTGTCATTTTGGGCATTCAGAGAGAAAAGGAACGGTAAAAGAAAGCGGAGGGAAATACTGAAAATGTGAGAAGGAAAACTAAACTCTTCTAAGGATTAAACAACCCGAGTGAATTGCAATCAGTAGAACTCAGGTATTGAAAGAGTTCATTCAATAAATTTATGAATTCTGTCTCCAGCAACTGACCTCATTGTAGTATGCATTAATCGATGGGGTCGATAACATAGTCAGCACAAACAACTCACCAGAACTTGCCACCGATCTGGTTCCCCACATTGGCCTCGTTGGATGCGAAGAATTTCACTCATTTTCACAAGAAATGGGAACTGAAAATTGAAAACCAGAGATAACAGGTCTCGAAATGAATCGGATTAGGCAAACAATTGGATAAGGCAAAGAATTTGAGTTGTTTAAACATGGGATCGTGGATTTTCTATCAATATCAAATGGTGCACATTTTATTTTCAATAGCTTTAGAAATGGAGTTGCATTCTATATGTTTATGTATAGCAAAACAAACAATAACATAGTATCTTGCAACAAGCGCTTCTAATGACTAAGAACTGCACGAAAGTGATAAGCTATTGAGCTACGAAATAACATCAATATCAAATTCAAATTGCGCACGGACTTGGTACTAAGCAGCGTCAAGGTGCACAACAATCAGGTAAAAACATAAAAGAGATCACAAATAACAATATTTTCTAATTCCCCCCTCATTTAGTTCGATTTCCTGCGTAAGATTGTTGAAATTTTAGGTTCTTTCTTTTTTCAACTTAAATATCTTATCACATCACATTTCATTATATCAAATATTTTCTCAACTACCAAACAGGGCTCTCGAGTTCCATTTTCACATCAGAGTAATTTGACAAGCATTTGAGAAGAACGGGAATAATCTCTTGCAATTAGAAAAACTTCATCTATCTATAACTAGAAGCTACTTTCGTTCTTGATATTTTTGAAACCTCTTAGGTATTTTCACAGCGAGTTTACTTCAAAGGAAAAAAAAAATGTTAAAAAAGAAAAGAGAAAGAAATGGACACAAACGATGAGCATGTCCCGCTTCCTAGCAATCTCGAGGGCATCAAACACGCTTGATAGTACAGCGAACACAGATCGTTTAAATCTAAGAACAAAACAGCATTGTCGATGTCAAGGGAGATAATTAGCAAGAAAATAACAAAAACACCATCCGCCATTGAAGAAAGAAAATTAGCATTGTCGATGACTAGAAGAACGCAGCGTGATTCCAGCGATTTGCAGTGGCCAAAAAACACCGTCCATCATTGAAAAACACAGATTGCCGCATTCATGAAGCCGCAGCAGAGAGAATGAATAAGGGAAAAGAAAGGGAAGTGATCTATAACTCACAAGAATCAATCATATCCGCTTTTGTTGTTCTTTTGGCCATCAAAGGAAGGGAACCATATCTTGAACAATCGATCATCGGTGGCTCGGTCTTCAGCGAAAACGAAAGTCGATCCTCTGCCGAAAGGAACGAACGATCAAAGAAATCGAGAGAGAATCGGGCGAAGAGAGAGCCAGGCCTGGAGGGAAAGTACTGAAAGTGAAAACGAAAATGCCTGAAATCGCGCGGGTTTGACATTTAAGGTTAAATGAATTTCTTAATTTTGAAATTTATATTTATTTTTAAAGTTATAAAAATTACAAATTGACTTTAGAATCATTTTTATTATTGAGAATAAACAAGGAACGCAGGGACCCAATGGTGATAAATATTTATTGATTTCCTCTTCTTGGATTTTTCCTTAACTAATTGTGGTGGGAAAATATTATTTATTTAATTTATTATTAATTATAAAATATTATTTAATTTATTACAATGTTAATTGTACATTGAGCTTTTTTTAAAAAGAACATTGTTTAATATATATAAAGTTGGAGAAAAATAAGTGAACCCAACTCCCACGAAAAAAATAAATGGGAAGTAAAAAAAGAATTAACAATTGTGTAAATAGATGAGATTATTTACATTATTTCGTTATGCGGTAAAATTTAAATGGTTACGGGTAAAGTTTAGGGATGAATAAAAAGCCTATTTAATTTGCCGATTGGTACGAGACTTTTTACAGTTTCTAGATAATCACGCAAGATCCTCTGCAACTTCCAAACCCTCGTTGACCACCATAGCTATTGCCCATGGGAAACACCGCCATCTCATTCGTCGATTGCGACTCCGCCCCAACTGATCCACACACTTTTGGGTTAATCTCTGAACTATACCCTTCTTTAAGATCTTCAGATGACAAGATCACGCCGCCAAATTTCGAACTCTGTTGAAGCTCCGGCAAGACTTCAGTTCTGAACACATCTGGGCGTATATATCCCACCCCTTCCGCCATTGGAGCCGCTAGCATTTTCACAAACACCTTGCCTGCACGAAATGTCTTCCACATGTTCCAACTTTTCCAGAACCCATCCAGCCGGTCATTGAGGTACTGGCAAACCAGATTATCCCCGTAGAATTGGACTGAAATATAGTCGAAAATCCCTGGTTGTGGAATCGAATGAGCACTCGAATCCAGAGACGAACATTGCGGAGCGGCGGACAAGTAAAATTTCTTCCCCTGCTTTTCGTATAATTTCCCCAGCTCTTCGCCGAGTTTGCTCCAATTGTCCCAGGAGCTTCTATCGTTGGTAATGTCGACGCCGTCGAATACGGCGTCGTTCAATGGACGGGAATTTGATTGGCCGCCGAGGAAATTGTCCCATAGGTAGGTGGAAAAGTTCGTGGCCTCGGTGAAATTGTTCAGATTGTATTTACCGGCTCCGCCGCCGATGGAGAGCATAATTTTGATGCCCAAGGCTTGACAAGACTTGATTTGTTGGCTGAATTTAGTGCAGCCGGCGCCGGTGGTTGGATTGCAGTAGGCGGTTAAATTGATCTCGGGAGTTTGGGCGCTGCCAAGTGAAACGATGAAACCTATGTTGATGGTCTGGTAATTAGCAGAGTTGCAGGCGTCGAGAAGGCTGTTTAGGTCCAAATCAACTCCGACCTCCGGACCACGGAGGCCGGTGGCGGTGGAGACGGCGATGAGTGAGAAACAGAGGAGAGATAGAAGAAGAGCGTGGAATTGGAAGGATGCCATCTGAGGGAAGAACAAGGATGCCATCTGCTCTGTTTCGTTCATTTCTTTACATGCTTAGGACTCCTTCAGACATTGACTGGTCAACGGGGAGTTCCAGAGTTGAATTGGTAATTTTGAACATTAAATTACCTTTGAATTTCGCGTCCATTTTGTGTCCAATCCTTAGATATCAAAATGTTACATTTTTTCCTTTCGAATATTCTCTGGATTTCAAATATTACAATAACTAAAACAATTACATTAATTTATTCTCGTCACTAAAATTAAAATTTAAAATCTCATTACAATTATTTTATTTTAATCAATTGAAAATTAAAGTAAAAAAAAAAAAATGATTATTGTAGTAAAGGCAAATATTAAAGCACTTGAAGAGAACTAAAACCAAATATAAATTAAACTCAAAACTTTATACATGTGAATATTAATTAGATTGATTTGGTTTATTATTATTTTGAAGGGGACCATGCGAATTAAAAATAATAATAAATTATGATGTGTTGTGCACTGTCGACCCTTCGCGCCTTGAACGGCTGCTCCCACCTACTTTATTTGGAAAATGGAAGGCATCAACCAGGGGAGATGGCGACTAAAGGAACAACGCCTTTAGCCATTTTTATGATCCAAATTTATTAAACAAGTCAATTGTATTCAAAAGATTCAATTTTTCTTTATAGTATTGTATTTCATTTAATTTTTTAAACGTATTTTTATAGAGATTAATAAAATTCTTTAACATAATATAAGTCTCACAAAAAAATTATAAATTAAAATCTTGACAAGAAAATAAGATAAAAAAAAACGTTCAATAAAAAAACTCACGTATCATTAAAAGTAGAAGTAATCTAACTCTCTACGTTTTCCCTTTTTAGTAATTAAGAATCACATCAACATTAGTTTTAAGCATCCGAGTTTGTTGAACATAATACCATATAAGGTTAGTGTTCGTACTTAATTACACCTCAATTTGAAATTTCAATCCAAATACAAAGATCTAGGTCGATTAATAATAATAAAAAAACGTAAGAAAAATACTACTTAAATGATTAAAGAAAAATATGTTCATAAGTATTAGACATTATACAAATAAAGTCACAAAAATTACCAATTTAATAAGGTTACCATAAAAAGTCAAAATATTATTGGCCATTTAAATTGGTAACTTGTTTTGTTTTGTCTGTAAATTTTTAATTTACAAACGACAATTGAGGGTAAGTTCCAACCTAAATTAATAAATAAAATATTAATTATCATCTTATCATTTTACTTATCCATATCCATCTAGAAGGATTTTTTTTTTTTTTTAAATTAATAGAAGATAATATAAAATTTTAATAATGCATAAAACCTAAAAAATGGGACGAAATAAATGTTTTAAAATATATAAAATTAAAAAAGAAGTAAAAGTGTATTAATTTATCCATTGAATAAAAGTTTTCAACTAAAATGGTATTTAAATTTAAATTAAAAAAATGGTTAATTAAGCGTAAAGACGTCCACTTATTTCTTCTCGTTCTTATACCAAAAAGAAACATAAAACACAAGTGGTATATTATACCGTTTTTAAATTGGAAAATCAAAACATAGAATCTGGTTTTCTTACACTAACGGTGGAATCTATTGGGTGAGATGTTGACGATACGATGTTCCTTCCCACACCGGAATATCCCTCAAAATGCCACGTGTCATCTTCGTTATGACGAGTACACCGATTTCGCTGTTTACAGGAGTAAATATAGTGGCTGAAAATTCATCTCAATCCAAAACAAACCGAAGACCATAGACGCCGTTAATCAACAGCAAATAAACGGCGTTAGTTAACGGTCGTTGTTTCGAGGTCTCAAAAAAGTTCATGACTTCGCAACAGCAGCAGCCGCAACGCCACCCTTCCCTCTCCCCGACTGACACTGGCGAAAGAGAGAGACGCAAAAACCTTCCTCTCTGATATTCACCGGGATCTTTGTCCGGAGGCTGAGATCAGGCTTCCAGTAGCGGCGACCTAGTGTTTCGGTGAGCCTTGCCTTCGTTTTCAGCATCGCTGATTTATTTTATGGCTTCGGAGGACGTCAAACGAAGCGAATCGGCTGTTTCTACCATCGTTAACCTGGCAGAGGAGGCGAAGCTTGCGAGAGAAGGCGTCAAAGCACCCAGTTATGCTATGCTTAGCATCTTCAAATCTCTTGTTGCTGGTGGAGTCGCCGGCGGAGTGTGAGTTCCATTTCCCCCCTGTAAACTACGACTTGTGTCGATATAAATTTGGCTGTGAATGATTACAGGCCTTTTTACGTCCTTTTGGCTGCCTGTTAAAATTATAGGACGTATGATTAAGTTATAGCTTGTCGGTCGAGCATTTTTTGTGCTTGTTGATTTGGTTGTTCGTTTTAGAGTAGAAAATGTGGGGGAAAAAAATTTTAAAAAATAAATTTGCACCGTCCAAGCTTTGAATTCGTAAATCAGACCGATCATTGAACTTAATGGCATGCCATTACTTTTGACATGAGAAAGAAGGTTGTTAAATGTTCAATGCGTGCATCGTATAGGTTTTTCTATAATTTGAATTTGTCGCTTCTTTGTAGTCTTCGAAGTTACCAGTTTTTAAAATTTCTCATCTGAGTTTACTTTTCCGTGAACCCATATTCTGAAACGTTTTTGTATCTTTTTCAGCTCTCGAACTGCTGTTGCTCCTTTGGAGCGATTGAAGATATTATTACAGGTTCGTCTGCTCTATTCATTATTAATTTTCTGCAACTGATCAATTGATCATTTTGTCAGCGTACGCACTACTCACGAGGTTTATGAGAATGGCCACAAAGTAGGATATGCATAGCTACAACGTCTTATTTAGCTGCTTCTACAAAACAGGTCCAAAATCCTCATAGCATAAAATATAATGGAACGATACAAGGCTTGAAATACATTTGGAGAACTGAGGGCTTTCGAGGACTATTCAAAGGCAATGGTACTAATTGTGCTCGTATAGTACCAAATTCAGCAGTAAAATTCTTCAGCTATGAACAAGCTTCTCGGTAAGCTTTAAGTCAATGTTCTGTAGTGTGATCAACTTCAATTTTGCCTTCAGAAATGATTGGCTTTAGTGTTTTAAGTTAAATTTGATCAACATGTTGGAGGGTGCTGAATTTTTATGATTGACATTGTTAAATTTACTGATTTGTTGATTGCACTGACATGACCTCATGTGGCGAGAAAAGTTGGCTGTTGTCTTATCTTGGAAATACATGGTAGAAATTACCTTTTTTTATTAGGAACACAGGAAGTGTAGTAATTGATCACTGGATATCAGTACTAGGTTTCATTCTGACAAATAGGATTGTTGGCTGTTGAAGTTGAAGTTAGTTTTTAGGAGAGATTGATCCAATAGAGTACTAAGGATCTTTCAACACAGTGCGTCATTTAGGAATAGAGTTACTAGAAAAATCTAATTGCTGAAGGGGGGAAGATGACAAAAATATGATATTGATTTGAAAAACAGTTCATACTTATTGGTAATCTTACTAGTGTCTCAATTAGGGAACCTTTGATACGTTTTGAATACACTCCTTAAATCCCTTAATTTTCTCTTTAGTATTTGCTAAATTGCTGATATTTTGTTCTTTTCTATTGACAGGGGAATACTGTACGCTTACAGGGAACAGACTGGTAACCGTAAGTTCATTTTGACCTCCCTTTATCACTTTTGTTATATTATAATTATGAAAGATCACAAGAGTTGCTGCTCCCTCCCCTCCTCATCCTGCACAAATCTCAATCTAAGCCTTCTTGTTTTATTTTTGCAGAAGATGCTCAACTCACTCCTCTTCTACGTCTTGGTGCTGGAGCTTGTGCTGGAATTATTGCCATGTCAGCAACTTACCCTATGGACATGGTGCGAGGCAGATTAACCGTGCAGGTACTCATTCTCAATTCCTTGTCCTTTTCAAGTTCTTATTCAATGCCAACTATTTATAATCCTAGCTACGGCTTCACAACTTTATATTTGATGTCATCTTGATATTCTTTTCATCAAACTGAAATTTCCTTTATTTGCCCTGAATTTGTTTTCAGACAGATAAGTCTCCTTACCAGTACAGAGGAATATTCCATGCTCTTTCAACGGTGCTTCGGGAAGAAGGTCCAAGGGCCTTGTACAAGGGCTGGCTTCCTTCTGTCATCGGAGTTGTAAGTTCATTTAATTTATCTTTTGCATATGTGCTGCCATTATAAGTATTTTTAAGGGTGCAATCATGATGTTCTTCCTTACTTTGATGCTGGCAATGGTTAGTAGGTTTCAATTGAGTGAAGCAAATTGCACTAAAAAGTAAAGGGGAAAAAATAAGTGATATTGCAAATGCAACAAGTATATTATAAGTAGGGTACTGGTTTCTTTTGTCTCTTGAAGTGTCATGTGTTTATTATAATCAGAAGTATAATAAATTTTCAGCGTGAGAATTATTGAAATGTAAAAAGGTATATATATATATAAGTAGACTACCATTTCCATGTCCTTGACTTCAGAAAATAATCCATCATCATGTCTGTGTTTCTGTGTTGTAAATCTTCATTCCAAATGCTTTTACTAATGAGCAATTACTTCAAGTTTTATTTATCCAATTATTCACCTAATGTTATGACACTTGTTTGGATTACAGTTTATAGATTCTAGAAGATACATGGGTTTTATACTTCGTGCATGAAGTTTAAGTAGCACATTTAATTTTGCAGATTCCATACGTGGGACTTAACTTTGCCGTGTATGAATCACTTAAAGATTGGTTAATTAAAAAGAGACCGTTCGGACTTGTTGAAGATTCAGAGCTCAGTGTGACAACACGCTTAGCATGTGGAGCTGCTGCTGGAACTGTAGGTCAAACTATTGCCTATCCTCTTGATGTCATTCGTAGAAGAATGCAGATGGTGGGCTGGAATAATGCTGCATCTGTAGTCACTGGTGATGGAAGAAGTAAGGCAGCCCTTGAATACACTGGCATGATCGATGCTTTTAGAAAAACAGTTCGTTATGAAGGCTTTAGGGCATTGTACAAGGGTTTGGTTCCCAACTCAGTGAAGGTTAGGCATGCTCTTACTCTGTCTCTGCTTGTTTATATTAATATGATGAAGTTGACTGATTGATATCTAATTCTGAATTTGGTGGGAGAATGAGCGATTCCGTATGCAAAGTTTCGGGGATCGATGAGGTCTCAGTGCATTGTATGGAAAATGGTTTTTAAAACTCTGTATAAATACTGTGTGATACCCTAACCTCTATTTTGAAGCTACTTCAATTACTAGTACCATGGTCGTGTGTTGATTTCTTTGAAAGTAGTTTTTGCTGTCAATTTTTATTTCATTTTTTTTTGGGGGGGGGGGGGAAACCCCGGGTGCTGGGACAGCTTCATCTCTGGTGTTCCACATGATTGTTGTTTGACCTTACACTCTGAGGCATTGAGAAAATGTAGGAAGCTGAGGCATCTGTGTTCGATGGATAACTTTGATTTTGTTCTATCAGAATTTTTAAGATTATTGTTGATGTTTATTATAAATGCTGCCTGTTCATATCCCATTTAGATTAGAAGCATTGACAAATTGCATCCCCTCATGGCCCCTTCTTTTGAAATTTTGGGGTTGTATTTTTGTTTGTTTTAGACCGTTCCTTGACGATTTCAATTATTACAAGTTGATTAATGATGACCTTAACAGTATTCCCTGAAACAAGGCTATTTTCTGATTTGTTGCCTGCTGCCTTGTTCAGGTTGTCCCGTCGATTGCCATCGCATTTGTGTCGTACGAAATGGTCAAGGACGTTTTGGGAGTCGAGATTAGAATCTCAGACTGATTATTGGGCACTAACTTACATTTGTTGAACGGTTGAACGGTCTGCTATTTTTGTAGGCAAGGGGCGATGGTAAACTAGGTTGTTTTGATTACCATCTCTCCAAGAACTAGTTTAAGGCAGTATTGGGCGTGTATTTGCTTCCCTGATTTTAAATATCTTTCTACAAACTCGTGCTAGCATAAGCTTATATTCTTATGCTATGTCAATAAATGTTTTGACGATAGAATAAGCACATTTGAATGCCTCCGTTAGTTCAGGAGAGCAGAGCTTTTGTTGAATCTAGTATTCAGTTTTCGTGCTACTTTTTTGCTCGTGCTCTTATGAGAATCGACTTTTTATTTGGAACGAGTGATACTTAAGATAATAAGTTTGCTCGAGCTAGTGGTCATAGTCGAGTTAGCTGAATTTTTCTTCAGAAGTGTTTTATATTCTTGGTCTCTTCCTTCTGCCTATTGTAAACTACTTTTTCTCTACTTTCATGAAATTTCTAGTTCAAATACTGTGTATTTTAACCTCCTTTGGTAAGGTTTGATTATTATCATTAGTTGTATTTTCTGCAGTGTTGGTTATGTCATACTTTCATAGACAAGTATCAAGTTATTAAGGTCGATATCGGGCAAGTACTTTTGCCCAAAGAGATACGGTTAGTCGAGCCTTCAACATCTGTTCTATAGGGTGCTCAATTGTGTCTTTGTGTCTTTGAGTTCTAAAGATACTGTCAATTGGCATCCTATTCCTAGAGATCAAAGCTATCCAAACAAAGTGAAAGAAGAAGGAACGAAATAGCTTGATCGAGGTGAATGGAAGGAGTTAAGCCACTTTATGAGTTTATAAACTAAATGAGCCATAACTTTTAGAATAAGCCTTCATCCATGTATGACTATTAGACTTGTAACAATATTCAAAAATAATTTTTGAATCAATCTGATTTTTCTTATTAAGATTATACCATATATTTTTGAAAACATTTGTGATCAATCTAAATTTATTCAACAAACTAGGCTTGAACTCTCTAAATTTTCGAAGGTTTATAGAAAAATTGATTTCATACTAAAAAAAAAAACTTTAAGAAATTATTCTAAACACACTAGAAACACCAATGAAATGAAACGAAGAGAGCGTGTGATCCGTTATTATTGTATGAAGATCAAATCTCATACAAAATGACCAACTCAGACTCGATGCTGCTAAGACACAAGTTAATGGGAAATTGGAAACTTATTTATTTATTTATTTTTTTGTAAATTTAAATCCATTGCTAAGTCAAAATTGATTTTGAAATGGTTCTAAATTCATGGTTTCAAACTGGGTGTTAAAAGGATAATTTTGGGATATCATTTTTTTTTTTTTTTAAATTGTTTACTTATAATGATATCCTAAAAGCAATATTTGATAAAAATGATTCTCCGTCTCTGCCACTCCCGCCTTCTTCCATCGTTTTCCTTTTTCGCCTCACGGTCTCCTTTCACTGGCCGCTCCGCTAGCGGATCTCAGGTTTGCTTAAATTCATCTTGTTTTGCCTGGATTCAATTGTGTGGATTGTTGTAATCCGAATGATATATCTTGGACGAGCTTCTTTCATTTGTTATTGTTCTTCTGAGTCTATAGATTGGCGCCGTTTCCTAGATGTGTCCTTAATTAGGTTATTATCAGCATAATATCTGCGGAGAAGCGGAAATTCTACGTACGAGAATCAGGGGAACGGTGGATTATGGCTAATATCACATCTCTAATGATCTCCATTCGCCAAAACTCACGACTTGTCAAAAACCTTAGGATCCACATCCGGAATCTCTCGGTGGAAATGAATGGAGGCAAAGATGGGTGTGAAGAGATTAATCTGAGTGAGAAATTGTTGAACCCTACTCACAGCCAAGACGTCACTGAGATATCTAAAGAGGTTTGTAAGGTCATCAGGAGCAAACCCAAATGGGAGCAGACTCTGCTCTCTGATTACCCTTCTTTCAATTTCCACGACCCTTCTTTTTTTCGCGAGCTATTGAAGCAGTTAAACAATGTTTTGCTTTCGTTGAGGTTTTTTCTTTGGCTGAGTTCTCAGCCTGAGTTCTTGCCCCATCCAGTCAGCTGTAACACGCTTTTTGATGCCCTTTTGGAGGCCAAGGCTTGTGTTCCCGCTAAATCTTTTCTTCATTCTTTCGGTTTTAGTCCGGAGCCTGCTTCTTTGGAGAATTACATTCGATGTGTTTGCGAGGGTGGATTGGTTGAGGAAGCTGTTAATGTATTTGATGTGTTAAAAGAGGCTGGATATCGTCCATCCATTGAGACATGGAACTTTGCTTTCCAGAGTTGTCTTAAGTTCGGGAGGATTGATCTTATTTGGAAACTGTATGCAGAGATGATGGAAACTGGTGTGCAAGCGGATGTGGGGATTGAGACTGTGGGGTATCTTATCCAAGCGCTTTGTAGTGATAACAACGTTACAAAAGCTTATGAGCTTCTAAGACAGGCTTTAGAAGATGGATTAGCCCCTTCTAATGATGCTTTCAACAAATTGATTTCTGTGTTCTGTGAGGAGAAGAATTACGACAGAGTATCAGAGCTTCTTCACACAATGATAGCTAAGAACCGTAATCCCGATATTTTTACCTATCAGGAAATCATTAACAGGCTCTGCAAGAAACACAGGCAGCTGCAGGCATTTCAGGTTTTTAACAGCCTCAAGGATCGGGGTTATGCTCCTGATATGGTCATGTATACAACAATGATTCATGGCCTTTGTAAGATGAGCTGGCTTGGAGATGCTAGAAAGCTGTGGTTTGAGATGATTGATAAGGGATTTCTTCCAAATGAATATACGTACAACACATTGATTTATGGATTTTGTAAGATTGGTAATTTGGATGAGGCCTTGAAGCTATATAAAGAAATGCATGATAGAGGTTATAAAGAAACCACTCTGAGCTGCAACACTGTGATTGCAGGTTTGTGTCTACATGGAAGGACAGACGAAGCATACAACTTCTTTCGAGAAATGCCTTGCAGGGACGTAGTTTGCGATGTTGTAACATACAATACCCTGATTCAAGGATTTTGCAGAGAGGGGAAGATACTGCAATGCAGAGACCTATTGAAGGAGCTGCTAGAGAAGGGGTTGCAGCCTTCAACTTCCTCTTATACTCATCTCATTCAAAAGCTTTGTCAAGTGGGTGATGTGCAAGAAGCAAAGAAAATGTGGAATGACATGCATAATAGAGGTCTTCAGCCAATGGTGTGCACTCGCGATCACATCATTAATGGATTATGTGAGCAAGGATGTGCGGTAGAGGGGGTGGAGTGGTTGATGACTATGTTGAAGAGCAATCTCAAGCCTCAAAAGCAAACTTTTGATAAGTTGGTTCAGAGTCTCACTCAAATAGGTAAATTAGATGATTCTTTATTGGTCATAGGCTCAATGTTTAGAGTAGGTTATAAACTAGAAGAAGGCACTCTCAGTTGTCTCTTGAATAAACTATGTGAAAACAAGTATCAGTTTGCTGAATCACAATTAGAGGAAATCATAAATTTCAATTAGTAGGAGAATCTAGAAAGTGCGGAGATTGGACGCTGTTGAACTTGCTTAGAAGTGCCTGTCATCGATGGTTTAAGGTAGATCTGAAGGCTGATTTGGGTCGTAAATTTGCTTGTTGGGGTGGACCATCCATCTGCATGAATATATCCAAGTTTCTTTCAGAGGGAATGGGGCAAATTGATGAACTTTATTACTCATCTTTAAACCATGTTCTGGATCATGCTTCTCATTTACGCCCGAGGAACTCATTGAAGCTGGAAGCATATGAGAAGAGGTCTTTTCAACCCGAAACCTGTTCTTGCATCGACCAAATAGCCTTTCCAACTCCTCGTGTCAGCTGGGAAGAATGAACTCAACTTGATGTGGAAAGAGTTTAGAACCTTGTGTTTTATCAAAGGTATGTTATGTTGTTGTTGGAGTTCTAGGAGCCGAATATTCATTTGTGAGAAGTTGATTTGCAGATTTGCAAACAGTTCTGCAGCTCATTGTTTAGATTTACTCCAGTTCATGGTTATGAGTAATTATCTACCGTGCGTGCTGTGTTATTGCTGAATGTTGATCTAGTTAAATGTTAAATCAGCATCAAAGCAGTACACCTCATATGAATTCTGATTATAATACAAATTTAATAGACTTCATACATCGTTTCCTTTTTCATGTATTGTTGAGCCGTCCCCCTTCCATTTCCGAAACCATTTTCGTCTGTAAACAGCTTCATGATCTTCTGTTGTGGTTTGCAGAACTCTCGGTTATGGCAGGGCAGGTAGGGAACCTCTACACAACTTGCAGTGTTTGCTTTGCTTTCATTCAGGCGTTCATTAGCTGCAGTTAGAATTTTAAGATGACGGCAAAACTTTGAAAGAACTGACAGACAGTGACAAATCCTCTAGCAATTTTTTCCCCACTTTCTCTGATTGATCAACTGCTCTTTGCTAAGGCCGATTTCCCCTAGTTTACAAAATATGTTGGATCATTCTCATCTTCGAAACACAGCTCTCCATGTGTCCTTTTCCACCCACCCACCCACCAAGGGAAGAAAAAGAACTTGTCTGTGAAGCCCATAGTTCAGACAGGCCATCATCATCATCACAGGGACATTTACGAGCAATGCCTTAAATCACTGAGGTCGTCAGCTACATCAATACTTCTTCCTTGGTTTTTAGGGTAGCTCAGAATCTGAGGCATGGCCGGATGATCTTCTAACCTTTGGACTCAATACTATAAGCTTGCTTTCAGAATTCATTCGTATAGTACGCCCACGAGGTCTATTTTGCGGAGGCCTTGAAAATTGTTCTTTTGGTGTACCTCTTCCTGTGTAATGGAATCAGCATGAAGTTAGATTTAGAACATAAGAGCATTTTACCTATCTATCAGTACTAATTTCATAGAACATAAGAGCATTTTACCTATCTATCAGTACTAATTTCATAGAACATAAGAGCATTTTAACCATCTTCACATATTACAGTTCGAGAAGCAGGTACATGTTCAAATGCCAGCCTAAATAGTTCGTGCAGGTGAATCGAGGAAGATCGATCTTCTGAATTGAAGATATTCAGAAGATTAAGAGAGTAGTACTTCCTCCATTCTTGCACAACTGTTCATTGTTTGGTCATTTTTATCTGTTAATTCTAAGTGCAGTGTTCAATTAATTTTTGCTTCTGTATTTATAACTTTTGAACCAGAAAGTACTACTGATATTTCAAGAACATAGTAAGCAATGGCAATTATCGAAAAGAACCTGGTAGCTTGTTCAGTCTAGTATCAGAATTGTTCTTAGTCAATGAAGGCCTTCTGTTCGTTCCTTCGCGCGAAGCTTGTAATCTTTTTATAACGGGTGTCGGTGTCGGGAGAGGTTCATCTATTGATGATGATGTTTCATCGGTGCCATCGCTGCTTCCTGATTCTGAGGTATCTTTAATGCCGGTACCGTCTTTCTCTTTTTCAACGATTCTGTAAGCAAACATCTGAAATGGGATATCTGTAATGGCTGATGAGGCATCACATATTCCGCAAGATGGCAAATGCCTCAATAAACCCGACTCAATGTCACAGTAATCTACTATTGGGGTAGCAGGATCTGTCTGGCTATTATAATCGGGATTCATCGCAACAAAGCGCTTAATATACCGAAGAATCCTACAGATGGACGAGAAGCTCGGTCGTTGATTCGGGTCGGTATGCCAGCATCTCTTTGTCAAGTTGGTCACATATTTTGGCATACTATGTGGAAAAAGTGGCCTCTCCCCTGCTCTAATGTTCCGGCTCATTTTGTCTCCTTGAAGATGGCTATCCTCAAAAGGGACTTTCCCTGTCAGAAGTTCAAAACAAACCATGGCAAAGCTATACACATCAGACTTCTCAGTATACTTGGAACTCTGGGCACTTCCTGATTGACCCTGTTCTTCTAAAACTTCCGGAGCATACCATATGAACGGCCGGGATTCATTCTGATTAGAAGATTTCTTAAACTCAACAACAGGAAGCCCAAACCCTGAGACCTGAGCATGCACATAACCATCCGTAGAAGAGGCTCTTGGCTTAACCAGAATGTTACAAGGATTCAAATCCCCATGGTAGATCTTCTTTGAGTGGAGATATTCCATTCCTCTTGCAATCTGCAGCATCAAATCAAGTGCTACAGGAAGGGGAAATGGAAATCTCTTACGACTCCCACAAATCTCCTTTATATAGCTCGACAAATCTCTACTCATAAGCTCCATAATCAAGAAACACTCCTTCTTTTCCTCATCAGTAAACCCACAAAGAAATCTCGTGATGTTCGGATGAGAAAGAGATAACAGCATGGATATCTCTGGAAGTAAGGTTTCTATTTCCCCAAAAAAGTGCCTCATAGCAAAACTTTCCCCCAACCAGAGAATGTCTTTGTATTTACTCCCACCCCCTAGTCGTCTCCTCACCTGGTAGTCCCTTGATCCTACTAGCATTGAGCTTGGCAATAGCTTCCCATTCAACGACTCCGACCCGTCTATGTTCTTCAGAAGATGATCGGTTAGTCGTTGTTCATACTTGGATGAAGCTGAGAATTTCATCTCCCTCATCTTGTTGAGTAGAACCCATCTATCTTCGTTCCAAACCGTGTCGACTCGATTGCAGAAATCTCGAGTAATCAGGTATTGTTTCCCAAATTTCCACTTGAAAGTCTTCAAGTCCTTGTGTTCTCTCCTGTATTTGATGGAGTTGATTAGCCTCTTCTTCAGCATCTCATCTTGATCACACCCAGAATTCTCCCCTGCTGTTTCAATGGCTTCAACCACCACCGCAATGCTGTACAACAAATTGTGAATATGGAATTCGATGCAGTCGGTGTTCTGGTATAGCATAATGGCCTTTGCCCACCTATCTTTTACCTCCAGGCACTGCCTAATATACCCTTCTGCTTCTTTGAATACCCTGTTTAGGTCTCTCAATGGCTGCTCCAAAACCTTCCACCTTGCGTGCTTCTCTTCGAAACGGAGATTTTGTTTCATCTCCTCCGCCACTGAATCATAAGCAAAGCCCAAAACATCGAGCAACAAACAGCACTGCCTCTGGTTTATACGAACGCTATCTTTGAATAGCATGAGTGCCTTCACACTTCCCAAGGCCTCTCCAAGCTGCCGGAATTGCTCCATTTCGGAACCCAACAATATATTGGCGATTATAACTTTCGAGGGGAAATCAATCGTCCGTGTGGATCAATCTCAGATGAAGGGAGTGTGGGAATGGAGCGATCAACATAAGGGAAATGTCCCAGTGGAGCTCGAAATCCCTTGTACAAAGTGAGAGGGAGGGGAAAGATTGTTGGACCAGAATATGATTTGTTGGAAGGGTGTGGATGAATGGATGAGAGAAAAGGAACAGAAATGGGTTATATTATTGAGGGAGGGAAGAGAAGGAAGGTTAAGATTGATGTTGGAAAATTGGTTTAAGAATTGGTAAAGGTTGAAGAACGGTGGAGGATGGCCTGTGCATGGGGGGGAGTTCCTGCCGCGAATATCGATGGCCGTACTTTGGATTTTGGCCTCTTATCTTAGCTCTCTTTTCTTTCTTCTCTTTTTTTCTTTCTTCCCTCTTTAAATCATTTTCCGTAACTTCCCAAAAATCATCAAAATTACATTCCTTCACCCACGCGCGCACACATATATATATATAAACATTCAACCTTTCAACAATAAATTTTCTAACTTCAAACTTTCTTTAATAAATGTATCACTTGTTCATTAAGGGGTTGTGTTATATGTTTCTAAGTACTTGTTCCCTATTTTCTTAAAAAAAAAATAGGTGACGACTATCATGAGAACACAACATCGATCTCAAAGGAAAATTCTTCATTTATTTTTGCAGAGATCTTGGTGTATATTTTCTACTGGATTTTTTTTTTTTTTTTTTTTTTTTTTTTTTTTTTTTTTTT